GCACAGTTCCCCATGAGTTTTTACAGCTTCATAGTGCATGTTTAGCATGAATGATGTCCATGGCCTGGACATGCTGTAGTTCATCCGCCCACCTCCTGAAGGACGTGGTGCCTGCTTCCACGTTTTGGCACTGAAGAAGCTATCAGTTGATGTGCAGGGTTTGTGCACACTAAGTTTTCAGTCCCTTTGGGTAAATACTGAGGAAACCACTGCTGGGTGTGCTAAGAGATGCTAAGAGGGTATCTAGCTGTGTAAGAAACTGCCAAACTCTCTTCCAAAGTGGCTGTGCCATTTTGCATCCCCTAAGCCGCTGGGGAATGATGGACGGTCCCCACTGCCTCATGTCTGATCAGCATCTCCTTTCTGACAGGTGTCCAGTGGCAAATCACTGTTGTTTTAATTTGCACTTCTTGCTGACATCTGACGTGGACTGAGTCTTCCACATGTTCATTTAACATCTGTGTATCTTTGGTGGTGAGGCGTCTGTTAATTAAATTGGGCTGTTTTCTTACTGCTGAGTTTGGAGTGTGTATTCCAGATAACCGTTCTTTATCGGATGTGGTGTCCTATCTTGCAGCCTGCGGCATGTCTGTATTCCCATTCTCTCACCATTGCTGTTCACAGAGGCTTCAGATTTAATGGAGTCTGGCTCATCAATTCTTTCTTTCAGGGATCACGCCCTTGGCATTATACAGGCATCTAAAAATCCATCACCACAGCCAAGGTCTTATCATCCAGGATTTTTACAGTTTTGCATTTTACATGTAGGGCTGTGAGCCGCAGTAATTTTTTGTGGAAAATGTGAGGTCTGTGTCTCGTTTTATCTCCTTACATACGTGTTCCCAGTGGCGGCAGCACCTATTATTAGAGACCGTCTTTGCTCCTGTGTTGCAGACCAGTTAGCAGTGGGTGTATCTCCGGGCTCCTGCTGTGGCCTCTGTTCCACTGATCTGTTTCTCTGTTCTTCCTCAGTGCCACGTTGTCTTGGTGACTGCAGCTTTACGGAAGGTTTTGAAGTTTGGTCATGTCCATCCTTCAGCTTTGTCCCTCTTCATCACTATTGGGTTGGCTATTCTGGGTCTTTCGCCTCCCCATATGTGCTTTAAAATTGTTCTTCAATATCCACAAAGTAACTTGCTGGAATTTTGGATGGTACTGCATTGAATCTACAAGTCAATTTGAAAAACTGACATATTGACAATATTGTATCTTCCTTTCCATGAACATTAAATTTCTCTCCATTTATTTAGTTCTATGAATTCTCTGATCAGAGTTTCCTCGTATGGACCTTATAGAGACTTTGTTAG